AAAAAAAGAGAAAATTGTGAAGAATCTCGTGTGCAAGATACTACAGAAGAAATGCCGTGATTCACAAAGTTTCAAACGGCGTAAATATTAAAAATATTTTTCCAAATTTCCATTTTGTTTGGCAAGCGCTAAAAGGAAAGGAGGAAAGAACAATTTTGCCAAACAAACGTACTGATTTGAAAGTATCAAGGAAAAAGAACGTGGCAGGAAATATTTTAACACTCTCCCGATGGAAAAGGAAATTTTGAAAAAAAAAACCTTCGACTCTGCCACATGCTTTGCTTTCTTTCTCTCATCGAACGTTTCTACCTCGAAATCCACATTTCGCTGTTTGTCGAACAAACGAGAAAACGCGAGAAGAATACTCTGAATTATATCCGTGTTTCGTCGAGCGAAAAAAAAATGGGAGGACTAAGAAAAAAATAAATAAATAAATAAAAGAAGGAAAACAAACCCGAAACGATTTTTGCTCGCTGAATGGAAACAAAGTGGCGCGGGGGCAAAGCTGTGATTTAAAACTTTGATATCATTCGCGGGTAATCTATCAATCCCACGCGCGAAATAGCTGACAAAACGGGAAATCTCTCTATTACATCTTATCGCGAAATACCGCGCGCTGGCCAGAATTTCATCCAGTTTCCTTTTCCAATTTTTCCCTTCTTCTCTTTCCTCTTCAGCCGACTGTCGATTCGTTCGATCATACGATCGCATGAAAGTCCGCAACGCACGTCGAGAATTCTTTGTCCCAAAATTCCAACATTTTCTCAGTTTAAGTATATTTAAAGTACATATTTTTAAGTATGTTTTTTAAGTATATTTATAAATGTAATCCGGGCGAAACAAATGGCAACAATCTTATTAATTCTCAATCATTTTTATCCAATACCGACGAGTTCAAGGGAAAAAGAAAACGACGAATTGCTGTGTACGGTTCGGTCACTCGTTACGGTCCGCAATCAGTTGCCAGCGCAAGGGGTTAACTCGATCGGTACAAACTCCTTCTGTTTCCAGCGCAGTGTAAATAGCAACCGGAAATCGATGGAGGAAAAGTCGCGGGGAATATCGCCGTAACGTTCGAAATGTCGTAAATCGAATAAATTTTACAAGGAAATCATCAGCGGCCGTGTTTGAATCGAATTGAAATGTCTCGAATGAAACTCAGAAACTTGGACTTGACTCGTTCTTACGAGGACTAATTACTCGAAATTGGATTAGTTGGACTTTTTAATTTTTGAAACTATTGATTTTTGAAAAGAAAATTTCCATTTTCCTGTGAAACTGTTCGATTGTCCATCGCGTGAATAAACAAATTAGAAATGAGCATGTGAAAATAATGCGAGCGTAAAATATATAATATTATTCGACTTTGGATTCTGATATTTACTGAAAAATACTTTCAGATTTATCCGAAACGTTTCGTGCAGAGTGTTCTGTGCTGCAGGCTATAAATACCTACAGTATTTCCTGCTTTGAAACTCGATATAATTCAGTGTCGATAGATTCTCCGGTGCGTGTTTTGGATCCGAGAGAAGAACAGTGAACTGAAGGAGAATTTTTGCAACATTCCGTTCGCATCTATGAAATTTATACAGCGTGCGGTAAACAAATTTTGCACGAAAGCTATGCGTTGCATTTTTCCGTAATATTTAACTGTTTTTTTGACATTAAATTGAAAAGAGTCGAAACTTTTTAACCCTTAGGGTCGCACAATTTTGAAGAAAAAAAAAACTCTACCTGTGAAGAAAAAAAAAACTCTATAATATAATATAATATAATATAATATAATATAATATAATATAATATAATATAATTTTAACACAATAATATAAAAAAAGGGAAAACACGTTCGTTTCAATTATTAAACATAAAAAATTTAATTAAAGTCTTTCTTACAGAGTGCGGTATAAATAAACGAAATTCATTTGAAACGCATCTTTAGATGGGTGAAAAAAATATCCCGCCATGCGTCAACTGTCGCAAAAATGTGGGACAATATTAAACCTACCTAACCCCAGAGAATTAAAAAAAGTAAAAAGTAATTTCCACGCGAGGAGCGTTAATTGCTTTTCCGGTTCTTCAAGTCTCTCAATCATGGATCTCCCGGTGTAAAATCGTGCGTTTGCACGTAGAGGCATATATATGTACGTATATATTCGACGATAAAGCTTTCAACCCAATATGATATACTTCCGACACGGTGATCATGCTAATCGATTCCGGCGAAACACACACACACACACACACACAGAGAAACACACACGCCGGCAGAAGGAACAAACATTATCACATGACGCGACGGAATAAATTTCAATTACGAAATGATGAAGTTCCATTTACAAATTCAGCCGAAGAAGTAATGTGTGCGTAAGAGCACATGATTTTAATCACGTGGCCAGTTAAGTCTAACTGTAGTCACGCGCAACGGCGTAATAATTAACCCCTCGGCTCGGCTGGGTCAACGCGATGTCGTTCAACCAAGTACAAACATTCTCGTCTCTCGCTGGCACATGCTTGTAAATCGCGCGCATCTCGCGGCACGCATCGATTCCCTTATCACTCGTCGCCGTTATCAGCCGGCTCGTATATCGAACCCTTTTTTGTGCCGCATTTCCAACTAATGGAAACTCTCCTCGGACAATTTTTTATTCCCCCACTTCAATTTCTTTTTCTTCTTTTTATCTCCGAAGCTGCCGAAATTTCTGACTGTCAAATGTGTCACACTCTGCCCCGCGCATCAATCACTCGGTTTTCGTTGTTTCGTTCGATTGTCTCAACGACTCGTAATTGACAATATAGGGGGACCAACGATTTCGCGGAATCGGAAATTTCGGATTCTGCGAAGTGAGGATTGATGAGAACGTTTTTTGACGTTTGGTTCTGTAAAGACGTATACGGTGTCTATAAAGTCTCTTTGCAATTGCAAAAATTCATTACATAGGCAATTGATGAGACATCTTTGTCAGATTTGTTCCGTGTACTCGGTGGTTATCAAGGTTTTTATCACGTTGCATTCACAGGTAACCTGTTGATGAATAAGATACTGTTAAATGAATCCCTTACGAAATGGCTACTCCTCAAGAGAAGGCACAGTGCGTATCATGGTTTTAGATTCGGCGAAGTACTTCGGAACTAAGTATGCAAGAAATCCACCGTCACGTCCATCAGTTCGCGCATGGCGCGAGAAATTTATGAAGACAGGGACAGTGTTTTCGATAAAGGGAGGAGTGAACGATCAAGAAGATTTGAGGAAAACATGGATCGTGTAAGAAATCGAGTACAGTTTCTATGTGCTTCGTGCAATTAATGGTGCCCACATAGAGATATATTAAACGAGGAAAAAGAAACTTAAATATATTTGTCTTATTTTGTAATGATTTCCACTTCTCTCTCTCTTTATTTGCCTTTGTAACAAATTTTTGAAATTGTAAAGAGTCTTTACGGACACACTGTAGTTTCACTCGTCGAAGACGTTCTGATCGTGATAATCTGCGACAATGTCGCGTTTCGAACGCAAAACGTTCAGTCCTCTGAGATTCGCGAGGAATCCAGTCGCGGGAACGTCAATTGCAATTCCATCGAAAAGGTAAACAGTCTCTCTTTGCTTTTAAAATTAAGACGTTCTAGGTCTGTGAATCTTGAGTGAGAATCTTGAGTGAGCGCGAAAAAAGTAAACGAATAATTTAAACACTCGCTATCTAATAATTTAAATTATTGCCTGTATTACCTGATTTAAATTATCTGTCTTGACTCCAAGTTTCAACTTTATACATTATGCTCAAATTTCCCGATTTCCCGATTTCTTTTAACAAATATATCAAATAATTAAGTAATTTATTAATCTTTCACAATTGATCTACTTTATTAAAAAAATACAGAAATAATCGATGATTTTCGATAAAATTCTTTTTCTCTGTCACGTAAAACTGAACGTTTCATTATTATATTATTTAAAATTTTGTTACTTGCAGAACTGAACGTTTCATTATTATATTATTTAAAGTTTTGTTACTTGCAGAACTGAACGTTTCATTATTATATTATTTAAAATTTTGTTACTTGCAGAACTGAACGTTTCATTATTATATTATTTAAAGTTTTGTTACTTGCAGAACTGAACGTTTCATTATTATATTATTTAAAATTTTGTTACTTGCAGAACTGAACGTTTCATTATTATATTATTTAAAGTTTTGTTACTTGCAGAACTGAACGTTTCATTATTATATTATTTAAAATTTTGTTACTTGCAGCGAGAATAATATTCAATCGATTAAATTAAAGGACAGTTACAAGAGAACTTTGAACTGATTGTTCGTATTAAATTTTGTTCATTTGTAAATTTTAATCAAGAAGATACGAAAAGTTGTAGACATGAGAACAAAGTGCAAAATTTTTAATTTCATTAATATTTTCAATATTATGCTCTATATATACAAGCTATTTAAATATTATATATATATATTAATATAATATAAAAATTAATATTAAATATAAATATATTAAAATAATTAAATACAATGAAATTTTATTAAACATTAATTTTATATTTAATATTGACAATGAAACTATAATATTAGAAAATATGATTGAATATTTATTTAAAAATTTTATCAAATAAAAAATAATAACTTTATATATATATTAGTTATAAAAATAAAATTTAAGAAAAAAGCTAAAATTACTTTCAAATTTATATTTAATAGAATTGAATTAAAAAATAAAAGCAGAACAAAGTGTTGCAGGTCGTGTTGTCCACCACCACGTGAAAAGGAAAAGGAGGAGAAACTTTCGTCACTGTACCGTTCGCCGGATGTTGATGCAAATTCGTATTTCCATCAATGTAAATGTAAACGGAACCTAAGAGATTCGTTTCGAGAGATGTTGGAGAGGTTTTTGCGCTATTACGCGCTACTCTGCACTCGAATTTCCATAAACATCCGTCCAAACAGTCTAATTAATCGTCGTCACTTCCGTCCATTAACTTTTCCGGAGAAACTAGAGAAACTAAAAAAAAAAAAAAAGAAAAAAAAAATAGAAAGCAAAGACTCACCGCAGATTGGAGACGGCGACGGTGTAGCTGCCCTCGACGTTGACTAGGCCGATGTTCTGCAGTATGATCCCGGTGATTAACATACCGATTAGGGCAGGAAGGGTGGTCAAGGAGAACAGCCATCCGCCGAAATGCGCGGCTATGGTGAGGGCTGCCAGGCCGAAAAGCTGGCCGCCGGGGGCGGCATCGTCTCCTAGTATCGTGTACACGATGCCCCAGAGCAACAGACCCAACAGGAACAAGCACAATATCCGGGCGAATTTTCTGTAGCTCGGGCAAAATGGCTGGGGGCAGGCTCGCTTCCAACCGGGCGGCTCCCACGACGGCGTGTCGTCGCGGCCGTGGCATCGCGCGCAAAACAGGTACAACCACGAACTGAAACAGAAGAATTTTCGAATATTCGAGTTTTCCAGAAGAAGAAGAAAAAAAAGAAAAAAAGATTCAAGTCAAATCGCATTCATCTTTTTCAACTACGTTTGGTCGTGTCAAAATTTGATTACACAGGGTAGCTGAAGAAGAAACTGGAAGGTTTGAAAAATTCATAATTTGTTCGTTTTCATTTTTTTCCTTTCTTTTTTTTTTTTTTTTTTTTTTTTTTTTTTTTGTAAGTTACAGAGCATCCCTTGGAAATTAAAATGGCTATGCATGATTTCCAGCAACTTGAGTAAATGGAACAATGAAAAATTTTGAAAACATGTGCTTGTAAGAGTTGTTTTTGTTTTATATCTAGTTCATAGTTGTATAACTATATATTATATAGCTTATATAGTTATAATATTATATAAATTATAATACTATATATTATATGGTTTTACTATGTTACGATTTATTCTCATTAAAAATTGACACTTATTAATACTTTGATTCGATTAAAATAATTTACAATTAATTTACTATTAAATCCTCTTTCAAATATAATAAAATAAAATTATTTTTTATTTAAAATTAATTTATTTAATATAAAACATAAATATTTCAATATTAAAATTAATTATCTAAAAATTAAATTTTTTATAACTCATTTATTCTTAAATATACCATATTTCGATTTAAAATATTATTTTATAAAATTTCAGTCTATAATCAATTTTTATTTATAAATTTTAATAACAATACATAGATACAGTATTAAGTATTTCTTATCATGGATTATTAAATAATAAATTTCCCTAAAAAGATTGAAAGGCCGCCATGTTATTTTAATGATTCAACATTCAGTGTTTCAGTGACGTTTTCTCACTTTTTATTCATTTAGGGTATAGAAAGTGTAGTATTTATACATATAGAAGAGTATGTTCGCTTGAAAATTTCCAAAAGTCGATATCTCGAGAACAATTGCCTTTTCACACAAAACTTTCAAGTTTTCGAAAGTACAACTGTCATATTTACTTTTTATTTGTTAGGTGTCTTCAAAGTAGTCAATTTCCTTCAAATAAAAAACAAATTTCAAATAAAAAATATATTTTTACAAAAAATATATATTTTTTTACAGATTCTTTTTCTATGATAAAACAAGAGAAGAAACATTATTATAATTATAATTAAATGTTTAGGGTCACGTCCACCTTCTCGAGTTATTACTGACCTTGATAGGGTTTATGATAGGACAGATATGACTATAATAAATGATATAATCCCATAGCTTTCAAAAATTCGATGGAAACTAAATATACAAAATGCGTATCAGCAATTGAAATTTGGTGAAACGAATGCTGCGATACGTTTATCGATTTTTTTAAATCTTACGAAACTGTGATTGACGAAATCTACGACTGACAATGAGTGTCAACGTTACAGTTAACGCTAGAGTTATTATCGATACATATTATCGCTGTAATTTGATCGATAATTTGACTACACCTGTTTATTGTTATCAAAATCGAAGATATGTACTCTAAACGAGCATTTGTATTGTATTGCATAAATACTTGATTTTAGATATTTACATAGGGAAACCAATTTTAATCTATAAATGCAAATTATTCCATTGTACAGGTGAAAAAAAGGAGAGTTTCAGATTAGAAAGTAATTATTTCGATCATTTTTTACAATCTGCTGCAAGTAGATCTGTTATGGAACGTGCAGAGGTTACTTCAAGGTCACCCTCATTTTTTAAAATGGAAAGACACATTCAATCGATGTCACTTGTTTGGAAGATATTTTGATTTTAATTTTACATAATTACGATAATAGTGCCTCTGCCTTTTCTCGTCATTTGAAGACTTGAGATTAATTTTCTATTCAATTAATTAAAGTCAAGTAGAATATCTTTTAAATTAGTAACTATCCGACATAGTCAAATAATAGTCAAATATTTAATACTATTTAATAATAGTTTAACATAAATAGTTCAATATTTAATATTATTTAATAATAGTTTAACATAGTCTAATATATAATATTATTTAATAATAGTTTAACATAAATAGTCTAACATTTAATGTTATCTAATAATAGTTTAATATAAATAGTCCAAGATTTAATGTTATTTAATAATAGTGTAACATAAATAGTTTAATATTTAATATTATTCAACAATAGTTTAACATAAATAGTCTAGCATTTAATGTTATTTAATAATAGTTTAACAGGAAATAATCAACTGCATCAAAAACAGAAAATATATCAAGCGAAGATACATGTATAATCTCTATAGAAAAATTACTTAGACAAAATTGTAACTTCTTTGAAATTCATTTCCCATTCTGAGCTATTTTTTTCTACAGTTGTTTGATAGTTTTCATTTACAGATTTGATATTTTCATTAATTTTCATTTCCAGATTAAATTGAATAGAATAATTGTACCTGTGTGTATGAAATGAATATATACCTGTTAAACTGAACAGTTGTAGTCTACTGGCTGGCTAAAAATTTGGATATATGATCTGTTTATGGTCTTTGAATATTAATACACACTTTTAGTGATTATGAGACTGCAGGTTTTTATACACTTGTAGAAAATATAAAATACTCAAAGAACAGTGACTTTTACTATACTTGATAGTTGATAAAAATTAGTATATTACTGTAGATAGTGTAATAAGAACATACTTGATTCTATTTTTTTTTTTTTAAACATTTGTAGATTGTAGATCTTTTAACATCAGTAGACACTTCCAGTGACTTTAGTAATTTACAAGTGATTTACAACGTACAAGAGTAATTTACGTCCTTCATAAGAAATGTAACAGAAAATAATGAAAAATGTAAATAAAATATGCAACACACTTTCAAGTATAAAAGGCCGAAAAACTACTGGGATTGTACAATTTTGTATCTTTACAATTAACGCGGAAATGATATACGTGTAAAGTGACACTCAGTATCGATGTAACTTGCTCATCAACCAAGATGGTATATTAATTGCTGCACCGATGCAAGCCCTAATTAACGCCGATACGTCAATATTGGTACAGACAACTTTGCAACCTGCGCCGTGAAACTTCAGAGTCGATATCATGCATCACAGTATATGTGTCACTATATGAAAATCCCTCACGGAGTTCAGCAAGCCTAGTAAGAGAGTTGAAAACTATCTCGAGCATGTTATTCTTCACTTTAAATTCTTCAATTCAGTAAAAACTTTCAACAATCCGTGTGTAAACATGATTTTCATGCGGATTCATACTTTTACGAATATATAAAATTATTATCGACAATTGTTATTGAATTTAAATAATGAATATTGCAACGAGTATTACATTTTTGGTTTACTTGTACAATTTTTCTCATTATGTGCATGCATTCAGTGTGTATTTTCATAAACAGTTGAAAGTTTTCATAAATACATAAAAATTCACAGTGTGTTAAGGGAATTAATATTATAAAATATTTTATTTTATAATATTCTTATTTATATTATTATTTGTTATTTATTTTTATATTATTATACTATTTTATAATATTTTATTTTTTGTACTGCTCGATTGATTAATATCGTAAGTATGAATATTTTTGTACAACGGGTAACAAGAACTTCAAATGTGTTTTTCTCAAATCCATGTTTTTTAAACTGGCTGACGGGATATCTCACGTTTTAGTCGACTGATTGACTTGAAATTTAGAGAAGATCTTCTCCGAATGTACCTTTATCGCATGAACCACAGATTTCAAAGTCTGATGTTTTTTTCTATTTTTTTTTTTTTTACATCCTAAAAGACGAAAGGCACAAGGAAAATCGATATTTTAACTTCAGAATGCTGCCATTTTTTTAATTTTCGAAATTTCGCTGTTTCCATGGTTCACGCGATAGCCATGTTTATGCCAATTAAGATGAGTTTTGGTTTTTTAGTTTCAGCCATTCGAACCCGTTTTTAAACGCATGCTTAAGGCTGTACAATTTCTACAATTTTCATTAATATCGTTAAAAAAAAAAAAATTGTAAATATGAATAAATCTTTGTGCGAAATGGTTTCCTTAGAAAAAAATCCCAAAAACGTCGATTTTTTCAAGCCGGATTACCAGAATAGTTTTGATCAATTTTTCTTACTTTTTTTTTTTTTAATATCTTATAATGCTGTCAGATACATATATATGTGTGTATAATGACTATAGTCATAAATTATTGTTGATTGGTTTATCGCCTCGTACATTATATTAATTTTATTCATCTCAGAGTACGAAAATGTTTTTGATTGGACAATAGATGTTGAAAAACTTCAATATAATATTTATTCAAACGCTTGATGCATAAAATATCACCGTTCGATTTAATTCGCCAAGTAAGAATAAAAATAAGAATTGAATTATTGCAATCAGAGTCACAGATAAGCAATATAGAGGATAATTTCAGAATTTTATTTTGAAAGCAGCGTAATTCCATTTTTTGTGGATAAATTGAGGAAACGAGAGATCAACGTACATTATAATGTTTCCATTTATAAATGATGAAACATTTGTTTTAATCAAGTGAAATTTCGCTGCTAAATGAGGCTGCATAATCGACACAAACGCAGACATTTGAATATCTCGAAACAAAAGAGAATGAATCCACTACGCCATTTTCAAAATAAATGGCCCGTTATTATACTACGAGACGAACAATACGAAAAGTTTTGAAGCTACCTGTCTCACTTTATCTCAATTGTCAATATCAATGTTGATATTTGATTACATGGAAAATATCGTGTTCTTTTAAAGAGTTACACATGTTGATTTAAGTGCATTAAGATTTTAACTCATTCTAAACTCATTGTACATATGTATATTGAAATCGCGATTAGTATTTTACTGCAAGTTACTTAAATATTGGTTTAAACATTATTTTCTATTTCTAATTTTTTGGATTGATTTTGATTAATTAATTTTGTTTGAAAATTCACACTGTGCGCCTTTGATTAACGTGGAACATGAAATGGTAAATTGTGAATTGCTCTATTCATAATCGTGAACAAGTTAAAGAGGAATTTTTATTATTTACAACATGCAACAATATTGTTCAATTGAAGGAAGAGGAAAGCAACTAATTTTCAAAGCAAACTTTAGTTTTCACAGAATTTGATTTTAACATTTTAAAACTATCAACGACCAAAGTCTAAAATTTACATCAAGGATGTTAAAGTAACAAAATCATGAATCCTTGTGATAAGATAATAATAAAGAATAAAAACTTTTATTTAAAATAATTACAAATGTAAAAATTTGAACTCATAAAATTAAAAATTGATCACTTTGGTAATTCTAGTTAAAAATATCAAAAGAATAGCGACTTGTGAAATTACAAACGACAAGTTCAATCACCAACAGTCGACACAACTTTGCATTTTCAAATAATTATTTCTTACGTGACAAGGATTTTTATTTCTATTTCTCATCTATCAATGAGATCAGTCGTTCGTGTTAGTATTGGACAAAATGATAAGGAATTTCATTCACCATTATTGAATAAACATTCCATCGAACAAGTATTTATTTGAGTAAGGTTCGTTTAATGTATACATCAGATAAAAATTTCAAGTGATTCTCAAGTTGTAATTTATTTAATTATATCATGTTATACTTGCATAAAAAGAGACGATCAAGTTTTAATAATAAAAGTAATTTTTTCAACTCTATTCTGCAATTCTCTTCTTTAATGTTTAAAACTTTGTTTAAAAAATTAATTACGACAAAAGTAACAATTTGTAAAATTGTAAAATTTTGCAATCATTGAGCAATTACTACGAATAATAAATTATTATATTTATTATATTTATTATAATTATTATGTTTATTATATTTTTTATATTTATTATAATTATTATGTTTATTATATTTGTTACATTTATGATAATTATTATGTTTATTATATTTATTATAATTATAATAAATAATAAATAATTATTGTCCACGAAAATAAATACATTCGAACAACTATTTCTGATCGAACATTTGTTCGAATAACGACCAACTCTGATTTTGTATCAACTCTTCTGAAACGTGGCGAGCAAAAAGCTCATCGTGAATTCAGAAAGCATTAACGAAGATGCATACCTTGCAAAGTGCACGCGAACAGACGATATAGGAAACTTGCAATTAGTATAGAGCTTGATTCAATCTCATTAGACTTTATGATCTTATCAAGGCGATTGGAAATAACAGGCTCTGTGACCGACTGTTACATCACGATCTACGCTTCCTAGATCCGTTACAATTCCCTCGATTAGAATCGCCTGCTTCGAATAGTTTTCATTCATTGTCTCTGCGTCGATCGCAGAAGGATGTCACTTTGAGAGAACTCGAATTGTCTAAATAATTAAATGCAAGTACGCGCGTCAATTTGATCGATGATGTGCGTTTAATTCTTCACTTTTCCATTTGTCGATTGATAATCACTTCTTATTTGTCGCTTTCAGCGATATCTCGTGATGTTTCACGATTAAAAGATTCATCGATCTATCCAGGATGTTGATTCATTAATTGTAATTTAATATTATTACAATGTTATTTATATATCATTGTAATATATTAATTATTAAATTAATTATAATTAATTTTCAAACTTTTAAATCTTTCAGCAGTCGAAAAAATAGCTTTCACAAAATTGGCAAAAATATCAGAAGAAAATGGTAACGCGAAAATTGGATACTGTTGAGATTCTTCTACTTAATTTTAAGAACGACAACTCGATGACTGGCTGACGATTACATTATTAACAGAGAAAAGGATCGAAACTGACAAGCTTCCGTTTTCGTTTCGTAAAAAAAGAAATTCTGCTCAAACTTGTATATTTTTGAAGAAATATCATTGAACAGATATTTTAGAATCTGAAAGTGATGAAAGTTCCATGGAGACGAGCATTTGTTGAGGATGAAGTTTCATTTAAGAATATAGTATCGTATCGGTTATACGTTTATTTAACGAAAAATATAGAAAAATTAATAATATAGACAATGCATGAAGAATAATATCTAAGTAACACGTCTTTAGAACTTGAATGAATTAAAATATATAAAAATTAATTAATATTAATATAAAATAAATTAATTAGTTAAATATATATATATATATATATTTCTATAATATGAAATATATATTATAGAAATATATTTCTATATATATATATATTTTTTATAATAAAACGTACAAACGTACATCTACTGTTACATTATTATACTATTCAATTTCTGCTGTTATCGTGTTTAATTCAATTTTTCGAGCAAAATATTTTCCAGATTTATAGGACTCGTATATATCATCGTTCGATATAAACTCTAGTGTCAGAAAGACACGTTCAACGCTAGTTTGCGTGGCAGAGACGCCAACGTTTGCAAAGCTGCAACAGTTTGTCCTTTTTCTAACAATCTGACAAATTACTTTCTGGAAGAATCATTTTATTTTTTTACTGTCGTCAACGATTCCCAAAATATTTCAAACAAAAGTGTTTAGGATTTCAAATCACAAACTGTAATAATTATTCAACATTTGCCACAATTTTCGAAAACTTTATGATACACTGACGAGCAAAATTTTTGTTACAAAAACATTTCGCAAGTTTGAAGCTCTCTCTCTCTCTTTTCCATCCGTCCGATTAGACTGAAACATTTCTCAAAAATGTCGCACGATCCAGTTCGAAAAGTTTTTCGATTACTGTACAACCTGTGTAGAAGATACACTGAGCATTCTCACCGTTCCAACTCCTCCGAGTACTCGATCTTGTCCCTGATGGAGCTGGTCAAGCTGTACGCGGACTTCTTCCGCCCGTTGATCCTGCCGTTCTCGAGATCGAACTTGTGCTGCGTTATATTCTCCACGCTGCCGCTGTAGTTGCTGCCCCCGTGCTGCAGTATCGATTTGCCACGGCCATGATCGGAATTATGCTCCGAGCTGGCGCTTATGCGCCGATGATGATCAAAGTTGGGATTATCCATGCCGACGATTTGATCGCTAATGGAAACACGCCTCTTGGCTAATTCCTCGGTCGACCTGTTCGTTTTCCCGCTCATGTCGATTTCCATATCTCGAAGGAAGCCTCGGCTCGAGATCGCGTCCACCCGGAAATCGGAAATTCAAAAAAAAAGAGCACGAGTCAACGTTTCAATCTCGACCGATTCGAATCGGCGATTGACTTTTCTCTTCGGCTACGCGAGCTCGAACCGACTCGCGATGTTTCGTAGGTTCGTCGCGACGAAAGCAACGCGAATCCATGTACAAAAAAACAAAAAAAAAAAAAAAAAAAAACTTGTCGACGACGATCGAAATTGCCACGAAGCTGTCGGCGATGAAGCGCGCGAGTCCCGATCGGCTTTCCTCGATTGACTGCTAATGGACTCGGCGACGGTTCGCGATTACAGCTCGACGTGCGCGTCTCTCCCTGTCGATCGTCGTGACAGTACGTGGAGTCGCGTGACGATGACTCCGAGAAAGTCCAAACACGACGATCGCCGATCGTTGATTAACGATCACGCCGGCTGATAGGGAAGCCGGCTGATCGTTGACAGAGTCGCGTGACTCTTTGTTTTCTCAGAAGGGGGGAGGGAGGGGGGGAGAAGAGGGGTGGGGGCGAAGGAGGAGGAGGAGGAGGAATTCCTCGCCGACGATATTTTCGACTTTTAGACACCTTGACCCGCTTCACCACGCTCCGACGCGCCACAGAGCTTTGTTCACCTCGTTAGAACCGAGATTCAACGTATGTTCCAAAGATCGTCCGCGCGCGCGATAGTAACTCCAACACCAACTGTCCTCTGGACCATCGTTCCAACAACGACACACTTTTCTGTTTCTTTTTTTTTTCTCTCTCTCTCTCGAGAAACACTGAACCTCTTATCCAGGAAGAAAATTCCGCCGCGCTGCGTGGAACGGCGGAGCGAATGCTGTGAAACGAGCGCGACTAACTAGCGACTAAACGTAAAGTTACGTACGCGCCGCTACACGGTTATGTTTATGCGAATGGTGGGGCTGGTAAAAAGTACTGGAACACGGGCAAGGAGGGACAACGTAACGGGCCGGCGGGAATAATAATTGTTGCCGCGTTGCACAGGATGGGCACAGCTGGACACCTCATTGACAGTCTATTCGGGCCTAACCCAACTGACCTGCCTCTGATCGTGCCCCTGTGCACGATCGTAACCGATCGTCAGCGCGCGTTCCACACACACGCGCGCGCGCGTTGTTCCTCCGATTTAGCAAGATCCGCGAGAATCGCGGAGGAACGGCCTCGGCATGCGAGAACAGGCCGGCAATTACACGTTTCTACCGAGCTTTTCAAACGAGTTGTTCCGTTCTGTCGGACGTTTCGTTAAAAACTGCTCGTTCTCTTCCGCGTTTCACCCACGAGAGCGCGACAGTACCTCAAAAACAGTAGCAGCGTATCTTTTTCGTCCGTTAAAGGGTCAGGACAGTTTGAAATTTTCAAAGAATCAATTTTTTTTTGGAGAGGGGGGTTATCAACTTGTTTTAATGATAGGTTTGATTTTATCACTAATGTTTTAATGATCATTTCATCACTAACTGTTTTAACGATAGATAGATTTTGTGACAAAAAGAAGAAATCAATCGGGAAAGATCGAGAAAGTTGTATAGATCTTTCTACAATGGGCAAAAGCAGCTAAAGTAGATTTCCATCGTATTTCGAAATATTAACCTCCTGCGCTATGAACGTCGAGAATTTTTCGTCCCAAAATTGCAATATTCTTTCAGTTTTAAATATATTTAAGTATATAACCAAATACACGGGCAAAACAAATGATAAATTTATCACTTCTCAATAATTTCTATCCAGCAATGTCGTACCGACGAGTTCTTGAAAAAATAGAGCGACGAATTATTGTATACGGTTTGGTCACTCGTTATGGTCCGCAATGCCAGCGCAAGTGGTTCAGGGGTCAAGACAGTTTGAAATTGTCAAGAAATCGACTTTTTCTTCGTCTTAAATAGTAGTCTGAAGTCTTAGAAATAAGATGGTATTAGAAATAAGACACAAAAGGACTCATTTTGGGGTATAAATAAATCCGCCGATACAGAATAATTGAATTTGTATCACTGTTTACTACTTTAAGCAGTATTACAAAGTGTAAATCGTGTGATTCAAATTTCATTACTTTTGAAATGTGAATCGAATATTAGAGGACTTGAATTCAATTTAGTTGTAAATTGTAAAAACTGCGAGCCGCGATATATAAGTAAAACAAGTAAGTAAAGGATACGTATGAAAAATGACGTTTTGAAACTTTAAACGCGTTTTTCTCAAAACTAGGTTTTTAGAAACGGTGTGCAAGATATCTCGGAATCTAACCGACCGATTATCGTGAAACTTGGTACGTATCTTTAGTGTAACATTTACTAGGGATTGACGATCGAAAATTTTTTTAATTTTTAACAATTTCGAAAAATATAAACAAAAAACGTAGAAATTTTTGGCATAAATTCGATACATCGAAAACAAACAGCTGCTATTTTCATAATTTTTAGAAAAATGAAAATGTTGGTTCGTCAATCTCTAGAGAATATTGTTCACCTTTGAACTATTTTTGTCTTTTTGTCGCAACTAATCCTGTTTAGCTGGAATCATGCACACCGATAGGCAATGTCGAAAAAAGCTATGTAAATGGATGCCGGTAAAAAGTTAAATAAGAGCCCTCTTCTTTTTCTCTTTTAACGTTGCTTCTTATAGTTCATAATGTGTTAAAATAAATCGCAGAAACTCATTTCAATTAAATATTTATTTATGTTTTGCCATACTGGCTCTCCAAAGTATTCGTAATGTTTAGGCTCGTCAAACTTACGCTACGCACGTCGGGAATATTTGTCCCAAAATTGCAATATTTTCTCAGTTTTAAGTATATTTGAGTATAACCCAGGCAAAACAAATAATAAATTTATTGCTTCTTAGTAATTTTTATCCAGTGATACCGATGAATTCAAAAAAGAAGACGAATTACTGTATACGGTTTGGTCACTCGTTATGGTCCGTGAATCAGTTACTAGCGCAAGAGGTTAACGCGCGTTATGAATTTTAACACACTGGATTTCATTAGATTAATTTTAATATTTACAATTGGAGTATTACGTTGTTGGTCATTTTCATTACGTTTTATCAATAGGAGCAGTATTTTCTATTTTCATTGATTTCTTCTAATCTCAGGATTATTAATAAATCAAAAATGATCAAAATTTCAATTTTTTATGTTTATCGGTGTAAATCGTACATTTTTTTTTAGGATTAATAGTAACGATATTCTGATTATGCAGATTCTTACTATTGTTGAAACTTTTTATCATCATTGGGAACAATAATTCCAATAAATAGATTATTATTTTTAAAAGATTATTATCTAAACGATTTATTTCATTTATTTATTTATTATTATGTATCCTTCATATAATCATATACGTAATGAAATTCCACTGTTAATTCTTAATACTATAAAAAATATTTTTTATAAATAAATTTTAATATGGCAGAAGAGTGCTTTGAATTTAAATTTCAAATATAAAATTTTTATTTTTATTAAAAATTGCAACACGGAGTATATCAACATTTCGAGATTAAAATTGATTACATTCAGATAATTTAATTTCACTTCATAATTTTATATTATATTATTTACAATTACAATTATTTCGTTAACATTATGTTTTACTTTAGATTTAATATTAAATAAATTTTTAAATTTATCTCATCATACAATTGAAATTATTTGACACCCTTTAGTACCAATATTTATTTTATTAATAATTTGTTATCCGTCAATAAAAATTTTACATTTTATTGATGAAATATTCAATCCTTATTTTTCTATGAAAAAACAATTGGTCATCAGTGACATTGATCTTACGAATATCCAGAATTTAATAATCATGAAATTAATTGCTGTATAAATAATTATTTAAATTTCGATTTATTTTGACCGGCAATATTACCGGCAGAAACTATCTCATGTCACTAGCTATCATTTCGTAATTGAGTATAAAAGTGAAACAACCTGAATAAACTTCAATGCACTTTATTTACACAGAATGAAACTTTAAACAAAACTTGTATATATATTATATTTTATGCATGTAATATATTTTGGTAATCTTTTTTCGTGTGATAAACTGTATAGCAATTACCTGTAATATGTGTAATGGTACACGATAGGTTTTGCAAATTTGGTTTAATGTCCGATTCATAACTGTCTTTCAATAAACTATCAATTTCCACATCATCGCAATATATTTCAAAATCACTCGGACAAATAGATGAAGCTTCTGCATATAAATCATCGAAAAATTCTTCGCCACCACGATCGTGTTTGAAATTTTTGTACAATTGCGATAAAAACCTGAATATCGATAAAAGTAATTTTTTTTATAATACAAAGTAAACGCGACGAAGAATGATTTCACAATATCTTGTGAATTATCCCGAGTGTCAAAAATTAAAATAACTTTATTGAAGGAAAAGTTAAATAGTTTTATTGCATAGAGAGTGTCTCGAATTTAAATCCAGTGTCAAAATTTCAGAGACGCGTAGAGGAGAAGAGATTTGCACCATTTTGGAGAATTTGATCGATTCAGAAGAGCAACTGAGAGACCAAAGAATGTTTAGCTGCAATTAGAGTGGTCAATGTTTTGAATTTTGAACGGTATGAATGAGTGAAAAAACGACAAACTGTTGTTTCTTTTCCCGAAACTTTCCAATTTATCCAAGATAGAACAAACCTCCAAGAGACTTTTCTTTTTTTAACTTATTAATTTCCTCCATAGATATTTAGATATTTGAATTTGGGATATCTTTTATATTACATTTCATAATATCTTTATTATATTAGTTATTATTTCATAATATCTTAATATAATATTATAATATATATTACACTATTTATATTATATTATATTATAATATATTACACTATACCATTATACTATTTACTATTTCATAATATCTTTATTTACTATACTATTATAATTAGCAAGAAAAGAAATTTACGATAGTGTTACTATCACTGTTCTGGTAGATGTAAAGTCAGTTTCATACAACAACTAATTTTGATTTGACGAAAAATTGTCGATACTTTAAATTGTTATGGAAAATCACGTAATAATCTGCTTGGTCTTATTTTAAAGCGAAAGCTTCTACCTTGACCTTCTACCGAGCTTGCTTTGTTCAAATTTTAATATTAAGTAGCGAATACAAAAGTTTCTTTTCCTTCAAGAAGATTGTAAAAATCTAAACATCTGTAAAAACAAATTTTTTTTCTTCAACTAGATACGATCTTGAAGATTAAAGTTTGTCAAACTTTGAAGTTTAGGGTTGGACGACAAAAATTTTGGAAATCCCATTTTGTCAATCCTAATATTCCAAAGTCCCATGTTCAGCGAAGAAAGGAACAAGTTTCAAGGGATTATTGGAAAGAAAAAGCTTCAATTTTTAAGACAATGATGAAACAAGTCGCCAAAAAAATTTTTAACGCTTTTAAAAATGTTATTGTTTTTGAGAATAAAAGCAATTTTATTTCACCATATATTTTACCACTGTACGGTGTAAAAGCATGTTTGAAAAAAATAAACAAGATCCAGACAGCCAAAATAAAATTTGAGAAAATATATTTTTTTTATGAAATTACAACAGTTTAAAGTGTCGATCATTTTTCCATCGTCATCTGTTCAGTTATGAACTCTAACTTTATGCTCCCAAAAGATATTTCCACAAAGCTACTCTACTTTGATATATTTTTCGAAAAATATTGGGAAATTAAGCAATGTTGCCAATTAATTTTTATAAAAAAAATAACTTCCTTTCGTACTGACATAATTGAAGTCATCACTCATTGGCAATTCATTAATAATTTTTTACATTCATGATAAAACATGTGCAAGAGAATACACGTGTGAAATTTT